CCTTAATTTCGTACTTGAGGTTTATATCACAATGACAACTGTGTGGTAATTGACGTCTGCGTCTCTTATAGAGTAGTTCCGTGTCGTCTAGTGAGCTTGTGTACCAGAACTCAGTTGTAATGCCTTGTTTTGTTGTTGTTGTTGTTGTTGCAGGGAGTGCAGCGGGTCCCCGAAGCGGCGCGCCTTCCGGAACCTGCAGCAGGACTCCCGCAGCACCGAGTCCATCAAGCGTAAGTCCGGCCGGGCCCCGCCCACTCGCGCGTCCCGTCCCCGCCCCGCCCCGCCCGCACGCCACGGCACGCCCTCTTCGTGCGCTCCCCTCGGAACCTCCGCAGTCCTAGAAACTACACATGCCCGATGACTCTTCATGGAGCGGTGTGATATTAAGATGTTTGTTCCGGTTGAAAATGCTCGAAATTCTGAGCAGTGTTTCGGTTTATATTCTGAGTGTTACAGTCTCGCTGTATTTGGCTGCGTACAAAGAAAATGATAGTGGTGCTACAATAGCACACACTTTTCACATTATTTGCAACTTTTTTCAATTTTCCAAAAGTGATTAAAGAATTTTTCAGAGTTATTAACGAAAGTGAGATCCACTGCATTTCCTAAGCGTCCTTTGCTCTATCCGTAGTTTAAAGAAAAATCAAAAAAAATGTTGCGCTTTTTTTGAGAAAGTTTTGAAAATCTTAATGCTTTATGTAAAGTAGACCCCAAAATGAAAATATCCGTTCCAAATTAGCAGGACCTCGAATTCGGCGAGATCTATTTTTTGACTTTTTATCCACAAGATTTGTCGATCTATCGATATGAGAGCCTCAAAATACGAATTTTTCTGATGAAAAATTACCGCTTTCCCCTGAAACATTACAATACTTTCCCGTTATTACGTAAGTAGATCGGAAAGCGAAAAAGTAGCATCTCATTATGATATGTTCATCGACGAGGCCTTTTTGCGTGAAAGCGGTTGAGAAAACCATTGATGTTAAATACCTTTTAATTAAACATTGGGATGTGTAAATTACTTGCAGTGAGATTATGAAGGTATTTGGTCTCTGGAGAATGTGGAAGGTGGGTTTCAACATTTCTCTAAGTGTCAGTAATGAACTTTAAAGCAAGTCCGTGCGTTTAAACAATTCTTGAGTTCTTTGATATGGGTCAGTGAAAGACCGAATTTGTATGAACTACTTCAGTTACAAACTCCGTTCTAGGGCACAGCATTTCCCCTTCTTGGCCCCATTGGTCCAGCATTTTGCATCGTGGACATTGCAGCTGTGTTGGATCTGGTGCAGACTCTGCAGATGACACACGTCTGTTGCAGCGCAGAGTGATTTTGGAGCGGACAGTGGCAGTGGCAGTGGCAGTGGCAGCGGCAGATGCGGCGGCGGCGGCGGCGACGACGGTGAGGACGGCGGGAGCGTTGATGGCAGTGACGGAGAAATCGGGGAGGGCGAAAGCGCCTCGACGTCATCGTCTCTGTCACCGCCTCCGTCGCCGCCGCCGTCACCGCCGCTGTCGCCGCCGCTGGTGTCGGTGACGCTGTCGCTGACGGTGCGCAGGCGATCGTGTGGGGGCCGCTGCTGTGGGCTTGGTGAGCGCACTATGGACCCGTCTGCGACGCGTCGCACGTAGTGGGTTCACCGTCTGTCAAGTACCGCAGCCTTTAATGCATCCGGATCGAGTCGACGGTCTATTTAAATCCACACGAAGACTATTCACTAGCGCATACTTTCTTCTTTCCAGATTTCTCCATCTTAGTGCCTCCCCCTACCTCACTATTCCTTTACCCCCCCTCTCTCTCGCCAGTGTCTCTATTCTTTTGACTCTTTTCCGTTCGCATCTATTCTATTCAATCTCTTCTGTTTCGATTCCCTTTTCTTTCCTTCTCCTTTTTTGAAACTTTTTATTCTTCCTGCTCTTCTATTATCTCCTGTCTCTGTCCCTCCCAATATCTTCACTTATATCTTTTGCAATTTCCCCGCTCTTTTTTCACCGTATCTTCTTTCTCTCTCTTTTAGAACATTTTCTCTGTTCTATTTTCCAATTGTTCCTCTCTCGTTTTCAGTCTTCTCTTCTCTCTATCTCTCTATTTTCCAATATTTTTCTCTTCCAATCTTCTCTTTCTTCCAATCTTCTCTTTCTTCCAATCTTCTCTCTCTCTTCCAATCTTCTCTTTCTCTTCCAATCTTCTCTTTCTCTTCCAATCTTCTCTTTCTCTTCCAATCTTCTCTCTCTCTCTTCCAATCTTCTCTCTCTCTCTTCCAATCTTCTCTCTCTTCCAACCTTCTCTCTCTTCCAATCATCCAATCTTTTCTTTTCTGTCTCTCATTTCAATCAGTTCTCCTTATCCTATCGTAATTGACAATTTTGGGCCACGCATCATTTTTGAGCTTGTGATACTCCAGTAAAAATTTGCTAATATATTTCAAACGCAATGTAACAAAACGCCTCGAAAATAATATTGCTTTTACTTGCGAAAAGATCGCCTTGACTGACGGTGAGTGTAGCGAGCCCAAGCACTGAGGTAGCTGCTGACTGCCATCGCTACTTCACCGCAACTTTCGCCGCCACTACCATCACTGCCACTGCCACTGCCGCTACCGCCAAAGCCATGCCGCCGGTAGTGTGTAGAAGGAGATTATTTTGGTTTTAGTATATATTAAAATCTGGAATGTTGTACATAAATAGCAAGTAACTTTGAAGTATTTTTTCTGTTCAGTGTTCTTAAGAGGCTCTGAACATGTTTTGTGGAGATAGTAATTATCATGTTATGGATGATGCCACCTGAACCCCTTGAACCCCTACCCTGAAGCATTCTACTGTCCCTGAAACGTGAGATCAGAAATGCTGAAGAATTTTAGGATTTTGAAACTTTCCATTTAAAAAGGTGTATTTATCCCCCCCCCCAATTATCCCTGTGTAAAACTTCCGAACCAGGAGATATGTTAGGGAGTGGGGTCAGGGTATGGCATATAACGTCCTATTTCTTTATCGGAACTGTATGATAAATTGGCACATGATGCCATGATTTCAATTTTGTCGATTTGAGTTGTTTTACACCGGACACCGAACAGACCCCGAAACCAATCTCAAACATGTTTGGAACGGCAGTAACGGGCCTTGCTCATGATGAGTCTACCAGTTGAGGCCAAAAGCTTGTAATCTTTCCAAGTTAACGCGTGCTACACGCACGCGTTAGATTTTACCATAAAAAACTGACCTCATATGTTTGAACACATTCCAATAGTTTACTTATATTCTGCTTATAGCCGAGGAAAAGTAAAATAAGCACAAGTGAGTGAAATATTTGCAGATGGAAATAGCAGGGACGCGTATATTTATAGTTTTCTTTTGGATCTCCAGCCCACTACTACTGTATACATGAAAGCAGTTTCATGAGAGCGAGAGCAGAAAAAGTAGAGATGATTTTTTCTGACAGCTACAGTACACTTTTAATTTCGTAGTGATTGATGTCCAATAGATAATTTGTAATAAATTACAACACTTCATCATTTCACGAACTTAAACATGAGAGACTGAATTAGCTTAAATATGATTCCAGCGTTTCGATTGAATTCCATACTCATGCAGCATATTCGGACTGTCCGAAACAATCCGAATATCAATTTTTAACGGATTTAAAGATACAACTACGTTGGACTATCATTTATAATCTCATACAAATGGTTCTATCTCAATGCTGTGCGTCCACAGAGTTTAATGAAAAGTGGAGTGTAGAGTTATGGTTTCCATAGGCAAATGGTTCTTTATAGATCTATAAATTCGCAAGTTTTCCTCAAAATCGTTTCGATCACTGCCCGTATGATACCTTCGATCCGCCTCTGCCAGCGGATGGGCGCCGTCGTTGACGGGTCGGTCTCCGTTGCAGGGTCCAGCAGCGTGAGCAGCACGGGCAGCGCGGGCTCGTCGGCCAGCGTCAAGACGACGGTGACGGTGAACGGGGCGTCGCAGGACGCCAACGGCCCGCTCTCTGGTGAGTCTTCGCGCAAGCGATTTACTTTCTTCTGCATCTACCCTGCTGACTGGAGGGCGCCGCATCCTAGGCTCGAATGGCCGTCGGGCTGCGGCCTTCCTCAGGGTAAAATGGTTCGGATCTGAAGTAGATAGTGACTCCAGCAGTGCTTTCATTTTACTTGGCGTATTTCGGATTGTAGATCGTCAACCGACATGTTTGTATTTTTACTGCCTTGCTTAATGGTACCGAGATTAGTTGACAGAGATTATTCGGAGCAAGTATTGTTGAGGCATTATAACTGCACTGTTACACCAAAACGTCGTCTCGAACCCACTTTACGTTTATTGATCGAGTTTCTTCTACCTCCAAGATCAGCGGTTCTCAACGCTTTGTCCTTGCGAACTTCTAAATACCGAAATAAATTGGTAAACCTTCTATGAATATATCAGTGTAAGTGAAAACAATAAACGTGAGTGGTGAAAGTCCTTTAGTTCTGGACGAAAAAATTGTAATTATTTAGATCATTAGGAGCAGTGACAAACCTAGTCCGTTATTTGTGTTATCTGTCGCGTGTCGATCAATATTTTCGTAATACTTTTTTTGTAAGAAACAAATCATATAAAGAAGAAACATCTTTCTTTGAAATAGGAGTACTCATACACTCTCTGTAGCTGCGTTTCATTTATTTTCATTGTTTTAACACACGATATTCCTTCTAATTAATAAGCTGAATATAAACGTGAATTATCTTTAATGTGAATGAATTCGAATTCAATATCGAATTCGAATTCAATTTCTTTCTTAGCCAATATTTATTCAAAAGAAAATATATTTAAAAAAATAATACATCGGTATCTCATCTAAGTTTGTTTCAAATCCCACCATTACAATATAATTTTTGTGAACCACTCTTCATAAAGCTCGCAGACCACCGGTTGGAAAACATAGATGACGTAAGAACTATAGTAAACAAATTACAAGTTAATCAAATTTTCAGAATCATTAAAAATAATTTTTATTTTAGAAAGTGTAAGCTATGAATAATAATTGAGTATAATAATTAAACACATTAGGTTGTAATCAAATTCAAAAGACCATAGTTAAACATCGATAACTATCGATTAATGAAATTTATAACGTTCTATTAGAAAATAGTTTCATCCCTTCATTTTAGAGTATTTTAATACGCATTCATTATTTTGCCTTATTTTTGCCAAACAGGTTAACTTGTTACCTTCAATTTATCATGATATATTATAATACTATAATTCAAAACCACAGACGCAAATATAAATAGTGATCGTATCAACTCATTTCTGTTTCTGCTGCAGAACCGATTTTGATAGATGGCTGCGCGAGAGCACTTCTGCTCTGAAAATGTAGTTTTGTGCGACTGTTGCGTGGTGCTGGAAACTCGATCGGACCTCGTGCACGCGCTCCGATTCCTCGCGTGATGGATAGAGCTCCATACATCATCCGTTCGATGTTGTGCGCGGCCAACGCCGCCCCAAAGCGCCCTCTTTCGGACGATGCACAGGCTGCCATATTTCAACGAAAAGCTTCTCAGCTTACGTTACTGCACAGGAGTGCACTGTAGTCGGAGTGTTGGAGTAATGGGGAAACGGCGACTCTCGTGAATGCAGGTCGCTTCGTCCGTGAATGAAATCTTCGTTTCAAAAAGCGTACCTTCACAAAAGACCATGATGTGAAGTTTCTCTTTGCACCTGTGTTTACCTGCGTATAGTCTGTATGCACATTGCTCGTTGGACTGAAACATTTTTTGAACTATGTAATCTCTTAGAAGGATTGTGAACTTTTTCAGCGAGATAAATTGTGATTCAATATGAAGTAAGAAATAAATGTTCTGGTGATTACTGCACTTTTTGAAAGTATTAATATCACTGGGTGATTGATAACAGCCTCTTTTTTCTTCTCTCCAATCCTTTGATCTGAACAAACTGTGAAAAATAGGTGAAATTGTTAGTAATTAAAAATTCTAAGTAGTAAGTAATACTTATTTCTTAGTATAGTTTTTACTTTGAATACAAGAATTACAAAAATGAAATTACAGTACCGCAATAAGAAATGAATTAAGTTTTGTTTTCATTCTACCTTTCCTTTCGTTGATTCATACGGCTGTCAACCAATTTTTTATGTTATAAAACTGAATTTAAATGTGCGTCGCAGTCTCTTCTTTTAATGAAAAAATATTATTTTACTATAAATGTATTAAATGCGTTGAAAATATATGAGCATTTAATCAAATAAAATATGGTGCAAACAGTTCTTTTGAAAAAAAAACTTAATATGATAAAACAGCTTATCATTTCTCAATAAAAAAGAACATGAAATATTACAACTTTACTTGAGTATGTTCTGGTGTAGAATGAGTTGGGAAGTAACAGGATTATTGTCCGAAAGGGAGATAAATTGTGATTCAATATTTTACCTGATATTTTACCAATTACTATATTTTCAAATATCTCACACTTTCGAATAATACTAGAAGTACAAACACAAAAATGAAAATCTGTCGTAAACGCATCACAAATCTAGCCATTTACCCGTGAATTGATATCAAATGTTCCCCTCCAAATATTAACCACCTTTTATTCAAAATCTCCACACATTTTCCTCTGAGAAGAGGCAGTGGTTCCCCAGAAAATTGCCATCATCTGCAGGTGATGTGTTTTTCGATTGGCCCGTCGGCCTTTGAGCGCGACCGGAAAGCGCTTTGTCTGAGAGCCGTCCTCCCTCGGCTCGCGCGCTGAGGGCGGTGTGGTGGACGTATCCTACGAGGTTGATTTTATATTCTCTTTAACAAACCCCGGCCTCCATTATGAGCCGGCGGCGTGGGAGGCTTGCTGATTTTAAAGAGACCTTCCGACTCTAGAGGAGTCGCCCACGCACACGTCGCACAGTGGGGCAAACGTCCTGCAACAAGGTAGAAATTTAGGGAAAAATATATTTTTGAACTGATACGTTATCGCTTGTTATTGCATTCGATACGGAGCTCGAGGTTTACTGCATATCTTACCTGGATGGAGAGGATCCTGGTTATAAATGGTAGGAAATATAAAAACAGTTGAAAATTGCTACTTGTTCTCTTACGGGGGGAAATATGAAATGACAAACCGAGTCAAGTTAACAACTAGTTAATTAATAAGTAGTAAGTATGAATAACTGAAACTAAGTAAAAAATAAAAGCATGTATGTACCGCGGACGTTAACTGGTTCTTAACTGGACGTTCTGGTTATTCTGCACAATGAGTTGAACGTTTTTATGCCACTTTTTTAGCAGCTTATGGTGAGTAAAGTCAGTAAATTTTGTAAATATACGAAGTCTGTCACTCTGTCTTCTGTTCTGGCACAACAGACTCTGGCGGGGCAAAGGCTTACCAGCAACGTCCCGGCCTTGCGGCCATTGGTTAAGGGATACGTGTGGTTAGCACATCGGTATCCCTAAGTCATATTTTGGTTATTTCATATTCTTCTCAAACTACGAAGTGAACTTTCTCATCATCATGCAGCAGCAGATACTGGGATTTTGCAAGGAAAGTGCACACGATAATTTGCGCGATCGAGAATCGAACTCAAGATCGTGTCATGGGAAGCGGTCATGCTGATCAGTGATCTACTTGTGGGACAAATATTGTGAAGTATTAGAGGTATTAAATGTAATTGTATTAGAGAATATGTTCAGTTCTTTCTTTATATATTGTAGACCAACTACACGTGTCTAATACTATTTTTTCTATCCTATTTCAAAGTGACTAGTGAACTGCAGCAGCAAAAGTACTTGTGGACAAAACCAGAAAAAATACTTTTCCAAAGCGAAGCTCGCACAATTCTCAAGAACTAATTAAATACTTTCGAATAACTTGGAATTAAATTAAATATTTTAATAAAAACACTCATCACGAATACTGCAATAACATAGTATAGAGAGTGTAATAATATTTGTTATAGTATTTGTAACAGACCTTTATATACCAAGTATATAAAAAAGTTAGTACTCTACCATTACGCTTACAACATACACACTTATAACATTAATAGCAAAGTTTTAATGGCGGGTGCTCTCGTCCTTGGAGTTTTGAATGGAGCACTGAATATGAAAATTCAGTAGGTACGCACCGCGTGTGAAATGTTGGAATAATTGAAGATATTTACATTAACAAAATAGTAGCTGTTTCTATTGTTTCTAGTCACTGAAGCCATTGTTACCAGGATGTTCTAGGTTCGAGACCTGACGGTGAAAGGATTTTTGACATTAGCTACATAGGTAGGTCGGGTTCCGCCGCTACCTGGAGGAGAATTCTAGGGGCCAACTGCTCTGATCGGAAGTTTTACAAGATTTTTCCTATTAATACCAGGCGAATGCCGAGCAGTACCCTAACAAACGGGCCACGGAACGCTCGCGATCTTTCCTTTATCTTCCTTGTTCTACCCTCACCCCTTACTTTCACACACTTATACTTACATGTGCTATACTACCACCCATGCCGGGAGACCTCTCGGGAATTCAAGAGCTTATCCCGGATGGGGCGGTGCTCCGCTGGTGGGAGATACCTGGTTGGGGAAATCCCGCAAGCGGGCGGTAGCACCGTATCTCACCATCCAACGGGGAAGATCACCGCCAACTCCCGGGGGAACATGGACTACACTTACGGGACTAACGACCTCGGCAATTGTCGCGCCCGGAATTACTAATCAATCAATTTCTAATTTTTTCTGAATTCCTACATATCTAATGAAACCACTAACACCTCTGTGATGGCCAAAGGCTCATAGTTTTTTCCCATTTCTTTGGAAATGAGTAATGATTGGATGATTGGTAATATTTAGACGCACGTGTGAAGAAAACTGTAATATCGCCATTGAGTTACATAACACAACAACAAATAACAAAAATTGCCGTTGTTTACAAAATACTAACAAGACCTTTTTACTGTAAGTTTTGCGTAGTTTGCTCTACTGTGCGATTTAGCAGGCGCCGTCGCCAAAGAGACGGCAAACAAGCGACGCGGGAGGTACGTGTGTTGACGAAAGCCGTCCCCCGCGGCGCCCAACCATCAGGGCCCCCTGCGGAGCGTCTTTGGTGGGAATTCATTACGCTCTTTTGCCTCTCGCTCTTAGTCGC